GGAATGAACCCATGGCCTTCGTATAAACCTACATCTCCAGCCCTTTTTTAGTTTTTATTTTGAGACTGGTCTCACTATATCTCTAAACTGCCCATGCTGGGCTTGAATTTGAGATCCTCTTCCTTCAGGCTCCAAGAGTGCTGGGATTAAAAGCATGTGCTACTACTATGCCTGAATGAATAAAATGTCTAGTTTTAATGAAGACAAAATGTCAATATTTTCCTTTAGTGTTTTTATATTGTTCTTAATTACGTGTATACCATGGTCATGAAGCTATTCTCTTATCTCTAGAATGTTTGCTTTTATTTTCACATCTTTCATATGTAATTCTAAATTCTAGTCTTCAATTGACTATATCATTTATTGGAAGACAATGTGCTCTCTGCTGAACAGCTATGCCACGTTTGCTGGATTTCAGGTGACTATACATGTGTTAAGTCCATTTCTAGAGTCTCAAATCTTTTTCATTGGTCTATTTGTATTTTTTTTTTTTTTTTTTTTTTTGGTACTGGAGATCAAACGCAGGACCTCCTTCTTGCAAGGCAGGCTCCAGAACCACTGAGCTAAATCCCTGGGCCTGGTCTATTTGTCTTTACTCACACAAAAAACACACTGCTTGAAATTACAATAGCACTATAATAAACAGTAATATTTATTAAACTTTTCAGATTTGTTCTTTTAAAAAATGTCTTGGTTAATGTTGACCCTTTGTATGTCTATATAAATTTTAAATCCAGACACATACACACACCCCTCATACAATCAACTGAGATCTCATTTACTTTAAAGATCAATTTGGGGAATTTAAAGTTTATAACTTCAAATATGTCAATTCATAAGCATAATATGTTTTTGGTTATATAGGTTTTCTGTAATTCCTCTCATTCAAAAGGTCTATTTCTACTTAAAAGTTTCACTACATGTCATATCATTTATTTATTTATTTATAAGTATCTTATGTTTACTGGTGGTATTTTATTTATTTGTTAGGTGTTTTTGTGTGGCACTGAAGACTGAGCACATAGCTTTCCCACCGAGCTACATCCCAACTCTTTAAATTTTTTTTTTTTTTAATTTTGAGATAGCATCTCCATACATTGCTAAACTGCCTGGGGATGGACTCTGTTGTGATACTCCTGCCTCAGACTTCCAGAATATTGATTACAGATGTATGCCACCACTCCTGCCTAAACTGGTAATATTTTTTAAAATATAAGTTTCTAATTATTTCTGAGATAAACAATTAACTTTTGGATATTAACATTGCATCCATAAACTTTATTAGATGTACTGTTCAATTCTAATAGCTCATCTGATATTCTTTGAATTTTCTATATGCAGTTAGCTTGAAACAACAACAGCCTTTTTCTCCCTTACCAAGCCTTATACTACATATTTAATTTTCTTGACTTATTCTACTGTTTTCTGTACATTATGAATAGATACATTTTATGAGATTAAGCAAGTTCTCTACTATTATTAGTTTCCCAGGAGATGTGTGTGTGTGTGTCTGACACACAGAGACAAAAACTTATTTTTTCCATTACTTTTTCTGCATTTATTTGTATCCATTTTTTAATTTTTAAAAATCAGGTTAATTTTTCGTATTGGTATATTTTAGATGTACACAGTGATCACATTCATCGTATGTAATTTGCACCTGTACATAGTTTATCTTGATTCGTTTTCCTCCATCCCCACCACCCCCTTCAACCCCTCTTCTGCTCCTTATTTGCAAAAGCTTTGTTTCTATTTTTTTCTACTCTGCTTTTTTTTTTCCTTTTCCCTTCTTTCTTCTCCCCTCTCCTCTCCCTTGTTCCCCTTCCCATTTGAACATTTTCTTCCCTTCCCAATATCTATTATACGTTTTGGTCCTTATCTACACTTTTGGTTTCCCACACCCGAGAAACAATGCATTATTTAAACATACATGTTCAATTTATTTCACTTAAGGGTATGGTCTCAAAGTGCATCCATTTAACTACAAATGCCTCAAGTTTATCCTTTTTATGCCAGCTGTTCCTCAGATAAATGGCTAACATCTAGAATATATAAAGAACTCAAATAATCAGACTCTCAAAATTTAAAGACCCAATCCAAAAATGGGCATCTGAAATGAATAGATACTTCTCAGACAAAGAACTACAAACAGCAAATACATGAAAAAATGTTGAACATCACTGGTCATTCGAGAGATACAAATTAAAACAACACTGAGATTTCATCTCCAGAAAGAATGGCTGCTATCAAGAAATCAAACAATAACAAATGCTGGCAGGGCTGTACGGAAAAAGGAACCTTTTTCTACTGTTGGATTGAGTGTAGACTGTGCAACCACTGTGGAAATCAGGGTGGCAATTCCTGAAAAATCTAAAAAAAAAGAAGTTCCACGTGACCCAGCTATTTCCCATCTTGTTGTCTTTCTGAGAGAATTAAAAGCATTGTACCACAGTGATATATGCACCGCCATGTTTATAGCAGCACAATTTATAATAGTTAAATCTTAGAAACAGCCCAAATGCCCATCAACTCATGAATGGATAAAGAAGATATGGTATTTTTATCTGTTTCTTTTTATGTTATGAATCACAGTGATTGGTGGTTTCAAGTGTTAAAATGATCCTTTTCTTGCCCCCAAACACCCAACTTTGTTCTACTACCCCCAATTGGGCTTGAAAATATTATGGATATGGTACAAATAATACCTTTCTAGCAGCTTCTAGATATTTCTTTTTTGTACGATAATTGAATTGATTAGTTCCCAGTTAAAAGACATTGAGATTGTTTTCCATATGTGTGCCTACTTTAATAAAGCTTCAATACCTCTTACAATATCCTTATATATTGATGATTTTATTCATATAGATAGATTATAAAGGAGAACGATAGGCAAAAGATTTTAGATCCTTTAATAGCTATTATCAAGTTATTTTCTTAAAATGTATCAATACTGCACCAGTATGGAATATAAACATTTTTTGTCATAATCTTTCCAGCACTAAATATCATCTTGCTTGTTTTTCCTTCCAGCTGACAGACAGGAAATGTTAACTCCTTTTTCCTTTTTAGATTATGAGACAGTTAACTATCTTCTTATGTCTTTATTGGTTATTTGCATATTCTCTTTGTGGATTTTCTGTTCAGTTTCTATATTCACATTTTCTAATTTTTTGTTTGACTTTTCAAAACAATTTGTAGACTTTTATTAAGATACAAATATTAAACCTTTGTAACAGATGTTTCAAATGTTTTTATCTTAGTTTATTATGCTTTTTCACTTTATCATAACATCTTTGGATTTATATAAATTTTTACTTCTTATGTAGCTGAAAAAGCAATTTTCTCTTTGAAGCCATCTGGGGTTAGAATAGATTGATAATATAGAAAGGAGTATGTCACAATGCTTGTGATTTTTCTGAATTTCAGAAAACTCATGCTTTTATTCTTTTAAACAGAAACTGTGCTGTAACTAAATATTTACTACTTTTTGAAACTGTTAGTACTGATATATCTTAAAGTTGGGGACTTGGGAAAGCTAAAAGGTCTGACTATAAACAACAGATTTTTCAATATGCATAGCTTCTCAGGATGAAGCCAGTTGTGAGTTATCCTTGTTGAGAATCCAATGTGAAAGTCACAGAGGGCTGAAACTAAAAAAAACCTACAATTCGACTTAACTATGTCAAAATATGTTTTGTCAAAATAAAATATCCACTGCCAATTTGGCAAGGGAAAACAGAATTGCCAAATTTGCTTTGCAATTTTTTGGAGGCGCTGCAGATGAAGCCTAAGGCCTTGTACATGCTAGGCAGTGCTATTCCACTGAGCTCCATCGCCATTCCAAAACATATGCTTTTATTCTAAAGCATTGTAGGGAAAGTGGAAGAGAGTTACTGGTAATATTGTCTTGATGAAGGCATAGGGCCCTTTTACCACAATGTGAAAAACATCAAGTTTGAAAAAAAAAAATAGTTGAAAATTGGAAACACCTGGGAGCTTGTGACAACATTCAGATGAGAGCCCAGTAATGATCAATCTTCCTCTCTGGGGGTGGAAATCAGACACTGAGTTTGTGAACGTCCCCAGATAACGCCAATGTCTAACCGTATTTGAGAACCAGGGTTTTAGAAAGGACAAGAATCAACTTAAATTAAAAAGGAAGGTGAGAAAATCCCCAGCTATTGCTAGGTCGATTGCCAAGTTTCTCTTGTAAAGTTAATTTTTTTTCAGTAGATGATGAGTAAGAATTAGTGTTACTGGGTTGCTGCAGGAAGAATTGCAGGATACCTTATATGGGGGTATTAGGATACTAACCAAATGAAAGTCACTTCTGAAATTTTTAGAAAATAGTCATCTGAGCTGTTTATACTCCAATCTAATTCTAGACTCAGTGGTGGGAGGAAGGGGTGGAGGAGGCAGAGTGAATGTACACACAGAAGAGTAGCTTTGGCAAAATTTCCTAAAAAATAATTAAATGTCCTCAGCTGATATTATCTAGAACGGGTCAGTGCCCTCACGTACAAAAATGGGGTACACAACATGTAAGTGACCCAGACAGCTTCCGTGAGTAACCCTTCTCCCCAGGGTAGTCATCTTAGAAGTGGCAAAGCTAAATCATTCATGACCTCATGTGCTGCTTTTGGCAAGCGGCTCCCTAATTGCTCCTGTTTTTGCATCGATTCTGCGCAGCGTGGAAAACGAGTCTCCAACTTGCTTGTGGATTTATTGACCATCAGTTCCCTCTTCAGCTTTCACCTGACAGGGCTCGCCCGCTCTATTTTAGAGCAAGGAGCTGGGAGCAGCACCTGTTCCCCAGTCTCTAATGATGGGCTGGGCATTTTGACGGCGCCCTCCTTCAATCAACCCACCCCCAGGTGTCAGTGTTTCTGCTTTCCACCTCACCCCGCCCTTCCCGCCGCTCCGCATCTCTACCTCCGTGGGTGAGGACCCGGGGAGGAGGGAAATCCGCCCTCAGAGACACAAGCTCCCCAGCTAGTTACCTGCTTTGGAGAGCATCAAGTCGATCGGGCGAACCCACCTGCATGCCAAAGTTTGGGACGTGGGGGAGCTGGGGCACCTAACGTGAGGCCATGGCTCAACAGTGGGGTCCGGAGGAGACCGGGGAAGATGCGGCTGGAGACGGATTCACCGACGTCATCAAGAGTCGCGCTGGTAGGACCCCGTTGTCTCGCTTTTTACTGTGGGGTTATAAAATGTACCCTGCTGAGTGTCGGCAGAGGCTGTGCCCTGGAAGTTGGCACAGGGTTGAGGAAAGTTGTGTGGCGCCCAGATGCAGAGCAGCTGCGTGGGAACGGCATTGCGCCCCCAAGCGAGGGGAGGGCGGGGAATCACTCGGGGCGCGTCCGGGGGAGGAGGGTGCTGCTCTCGGGGAAAGCAGAAACTGAAGTTTGCCTTTTGGGCCAAGTGGATGATGATGATGATGTTGTTTTAATTTAAAAAGGCACCGGATATCGATTTTATTAGATATTAACTTGTAAAAATTAAACATGCAAGAATGACCAAATTGATTCAAAAGAAATATTGTGATAGCCTTTAGGGAAGGAGAGATGAAGTATGAGAAGACACCTTGTCAGGGTGTGGTCCACCGCTTGGAGTTAAGAAATGTGAGAAGTTTCACCTTCCTTCTAGCAGCGCTGAAGGAAAATGTCTCAGCGGTACATATGAAATCTTGCGTGACCAGAGCACAGCTACAGGAGTTGAAAGTCGTTATAGCAGTAGGACCGAAAAGTCTAAGGCTTTTGCTGCCACTTCCTACTTCTCTACCTCCCCGCCTACTGCCTGCGCGCCTGTAAATTTCATTTGTATTAAATCTGATGTTTGGTAGTCAGGCCTACGTGTGGAAACGCTTGCAACTCAGGACGGGTCTTTAAGGCTATAAATGGAAGCAGCTGTTTAGCTTTCCCTAAGGATAAAGTTTCAGCTGTCTGAATCTACTGCCTCTCACCCTCCCTTGGAAAAGCATCAATTTGCGTACAGCAAAATAATAGAGTTCTACATTTTTTATGTACATTTCAGGGTATTGAAGAGGGCAGAGATATAAAGTCACTGTACATGTTTTTTTGAAGTGAGGTGAAAGAGAAGGTCACAAGAGAAAACAGAAAGGAGTAAAATACAAAAGTTGAGTAAAGTATAGACAAGATTTCAAAAGATGGTAGACTAGGATTTTGGGAACTTTAATGTGGTCTTGTAGTTACAAGTAGTACAAATTGGTGGATGATGCCTGGAAGTCACAAAATAATAGTGCCTCTGACAATGTCTGGGAGAAATTGTTTTAAGATCACACTTACCTTCTTCTTGCCTCTTTCATAAGCTGAAATGTTTTAGATATTAAAAGAAGCAGGAAACTTTTTAAAACAAAATACCCTAAGCATAATAAAATTGACTTTAAGTAGATACTCTAAAATAGCGTCAAAAAATTGGATATTTTTATACACTGGTTTACAATTCCTGTTTATATTGGACAACCTTCAGATTAAAATCATCTGAAATATGCAAACGATATTTACTATACACCTGTTACATAGAATTGGTTTGAAAAATGTGTGAATTTAGCGATTAATTTTACATGCTTATTCTATTTATCACTGTTCTCAAACTTAAACTTGCCAATCCAAAGAGTGAAAAAGAAAAGGCCTCAGAAATATAGTCTCAAAGCTAGATTCATATAAGTTTGTGTGTTTTGGACACAGCTAGATTGACTCCATCCTGAAGAAAATTCAACCTGCACTTATATTACTTAGGATTTCATATTTGATACTACTATTGAGACATTTAAGAATGCAGTGATTGAATTGTTTTTTTTTATCGATGAAATTAAGCTTTTACTTGAAATCTAAATTATATAGGATAAATAACAGTTCAATGGGTTATCAATTTTTTCAAAATCGATCTTTTATCTTTTTCATAGGTCCATTTCCTTATGAATTTAAAATATAAACTAATATTTACATTGAATATTTAAATTCTGTACCTCGATGAAACCAGTTTGGGATTTTTTTCTATTTTTGTTTTGTTAATTATGAAGCTTAAGAGGTGACTATGAATTATAAATGGTGTGTGTAGCCAGATGCTGTTACCAGCAAAAAGTATAATGTGTTTTGGCTGTAGTGCTGCCAGAAAGAGCAAACCAAAGAAAATGTTGTTACATTGGCTACAACTTCCATAGAAACTCTCCTTCTTTTCTCTTTCACTCCCATATTTTACACTGTTTCTAGTCCTAAAAAAGGGCAAGAGAAATTTTAGAGTGTGTTATTAAAATGCTTCAAAAAGCAAAAAAAAAAAAAAAAATGAGAGGTTTATGACTTTAGTTGTATTGGAGATTCCTTTTTATATTTTAATAAGTAGAACTGTTTTTCAAAAATTGAGGAAACACAGGTGATTATAATAGACATTGATAATACAAGTGTAAACTTCATTAGCTTGATTTTATACAGTGATTCTGGTTCATCATTTGATGAAAAGTCACAATCTGGGAATCTCACTATTTCTCCCATTACAACTGCATATTTTTTAACTCATTTTCTTAAGCAAGCAGGCTTCTCAGTGATTATGATTTACATATAGAGCCTCACGAATCATAATGTCAGTACCACCCTTGAGAAGTCCCATTCCTTGGATTAAAATCGATTGCTATAAAACAAATATCTCAAAACAGAACTTTTATGTATAAACTTCAGATATCTTAAAGATAGAATCTCAGTGTTCAAAAGAATTGAAGTACAGGATATTTACAACAGTTTTTTCTTGTTTGGGTACAGAAAATATGGGTACTTGATCTCCAATTTGGTAATGTTTTTCTGTAATTAGAAATATCCCAGTGTAATATAAGTAACCCCATGCTGATAATCTTTCAAAATCAGATGTAAATTTAAGCCAGATTCCTTCTATGACATTTTTGGGGTCTGTATTTGGCATCTCCTAGCATACCTTTAGATGTTTTACTGGCACAAAACAATACATAAGTAATTGAGGAAAGTATATCTAAATATTTGTATTATGAAAGTTTTTTTGAACCTCTTGAACATGGAAAGAAGTTCAGATATTACACCACAAGAAAATCAGCTAAAAGTTATTTGTCTTATGAAGAGAATAGAAAAGTTCATTTCAGTCTACTATAACAAATACCTTTCTGGTAAGCAATTTTATTTTAACATTGCACATTTCCTTCCAAATTATAACTATACAAGATTGTTGTATCAAAAATTGGTAAGTTTTATTTTGCCCACTCATGTTTACAAGAAGCCTAATATTAACAATATATAGACTTTGTAATAAATATTAAAACACACTAGATTTATTAATTAGTATGATGTCTTTCATTTGAGTGTGGTAGAGTAGAAACAAAATGCAAAGTAAAGGATGGATTGGATAGAAGAAAACAAGGGGATAGATCTCTTGCAAATGGGAAGGGGCCCAGGATACAGAATGTGAGAGGAGAGGGGTAGAGGAAGAGGAAGTAAGACTTAAGATGTGCCATGAACAGATACCAAATACAATGAATGTAGACATTATATGTCATAAACATGATCTAATAGTAAGAATGAAAATGAAAAGGGATTTGGACATGGAGGGAGATGGATAAGAAGGGAAAGGGGATTTTTTTAAAAAACCCATTTTATATACATTTACCTATTCCTCAAGAATGTAAACTTCAGGTAGTGCAAACATGTACAAATAAAATAAAAATATGAAACACAAATACAATGTAATTGAACTTTTTACAGTTTGAGCAAGTGCTTCTACATTGTACTCTTAACATATATGCAAGTAAAAATTATATATTCTCAAGAGTAAAGCAAATATCAAAGTTGCAAATATACTGGGAATTTTCCCAGTAGAAAATATCAATAAGAAATCAGAAGACATTTTGTATAATCATTCTTTCAAAAAATAACCTTTTACTTGTAAATATTACTAGACCATTCCATATGCAAAAAGTTATTCTAGTAATGAAGTTCTGTACTTATTTGTAACAAGAAAACTATATGTTCATATCATATAGGAGGGGGCTTAGTTCATTGTGCATGTTGCTAGAGGACCAGTTTTGGTGTATAAAAACAACTAAAAGATCGAATGTTAGATTTTGCTTTGTTTTAATGTGTAAGAATTCTTTTCCACACAGATTTTGCTAAGGAAGTTATAGGAAATATTTTTCACAGATATCAGCTACTAAAATTTGTTGTACTATATTTTAAGTATTACCTTGTTTCAGATAATTGAGCGTAACAGTCAACCTTATTAGGTCTAATAACTAGAAAATTAGAGAACCATTCATTTTCATCCTGGACTACAAGTAGAACCATTGCTATCTATGGGAGCTGAATGTCTTCATATAAGTTATTTACTACTATACCATTATTGTTTTCAAATAGATGTATTAAATTTTATCTGCTATGGTAGCAAATTATATTCTATTCTTTCCTCCGAGGAGACACTCAGAAATTATCATACTGAATTAATGTGCACATTTGGCTTGAAATGGAGTACAACTTCTAAGTTTCTGCTGAAAGTTTTGCATAAAGTATGATAGCTCTTCCTAATGTAATAAATTTAACCAATTTATCATGACATTCAGTAATTCTGAGCTCTAAGTTTCTCACTGTATAAATTCTGTTCTCTCACAATGAATTTGAAAGTAATATTAATGAATTTAATAGTTGGTGAAAATGTGCTTTGTTATTAAGGGATATCAAATAGTATGCTGGAGCTACTTACTATTGACTCATGAGACGCAATTTTGTGACTCTGTTACTAAATTGACATTCAGTGACCTCATGGTGGTACAGTGTCTTAAAATTGCCATGGTAAGATTATTTGTACTACAGAAATTGGCAAATATCATTAAGAACATTTTCTTTATTATTTATTTTGAGGCCTAGTTGTTAAAATTACATTGAAGCTCTTGATTATATATGCATTCTGCTACCAAATAACAAAGGAAATCATGGCCTTAACAAATTTAACATAACAAATTTAGAGATAGACCTCTTTTCAGCTTTGGTTTGATGTTTCATTGATTTCAGGGCTGGCATCTCCATGATTTTCTTGGCCTTTTTATGATTGCAATCTTTCCAGCAGACTGTTAGTTATTTCTCATAGTAAGAACTATGTCATGTGACCATCTTTAAGTGGAAAGGGTGCTGAGATTGTAAAAAAAATTACCTTTTATGGCCATTTTTGGAAAATTACAAGAAGGATGAGGAAATAGAAATGATATTAGAATAGCTGGCTATTCCAAACAATGCAAACTGATTTACTTAATTTGTTTAAATGTTGTTTCTTGTGTTTGAGTAA